ACAGGGCGTCCCTTTTGCATTGTGCAGGTCCTCTTGCAGCACAACGTCTCCCATTTCACACCATGTGTCCCTTTGCACAGCACATCCCTTTGCAATGCCCCTTTGCACAGCGCATGCCCTTTTTGCACAGCGCATCCGTTTCGCACGGTGCATCCCCTTGCAGAGCACACCCCTTTGCGCAGCGCATCCCCTCTCCCGGCCCCCCGCTGCACCCCTGGATGCAGCACAACCCGCTCGCTCTCGGCGCGTGTCCCCGCAGGCTTCGTGAACACGGGGCTGTTCCGCCACGCGCCGCTCTGGCTGAAGCCGCTGCTGCTGCCGCTCACCTGGCTCTTGTGCAGCGACGCGGCCGCGGGCGCCGCCACGCCGCTGTTCTGCGCCACGGCCGAGGGCATCGAGCGCCACAGCGGCCGCTACTTCTCCGACTGCCGCCCGCGGGAGCCGTGGGGCCGCGGCGGCGACGACGGGCTGGCGCGCGCGCTCTGGGACGCCAGCGAGCGCCTCGTGGGGCTGGCGCCCCAATAAAGGCCCCGGCTGCAGCGCGGAGGGCGGCTCGTTTTGGGGGTGCGAGGGGACGGGAGGGCGCTGCAGGCCTGGGGGAGTGACGGTGCGTTGCATGTGTGCATGCACCTGCGGTGTGGGGCATTATGGCCTGCACAGGTATGCGCATCTTGTGGCCCTGCTCATGCGTGGACCTATAGGTGCAGTGATGCAGCATGCCATGCTTTGCATGTGCATGCACACAGGGCGGTGCAGCATGATATGTATGCATGTGCTGCAACACATTTCACTCTGCCTTGCATGTGCTGCAATGCAGCAGCTCCACCATGCACACACATGTGCACACCACAGTGCAGAGGCAGCATGACACACACACATGCACATGCATGCATGTGCTGCAATGCAGCGGCTGCACCATGTACCTGCATGTCCATTATTCAGTGCAATGGTTGCACCATGAACATGCATGCACACGTGCAGCGCTTGCACATGCCCATGCATTCACATGATTAAACGCGGTGGGCACACCATGCACATTCGTGCAGTGCTGCAGTGCAGTGGTTGCACCATGCACATGATTCAATGTGCGGCTGCACCATGCACATGCATGCACACGTTGCAATGCAGTGGTTGCACAACGTGCATGCATGCACATGATTCAATGCAGCGGTTGCACCATGCACACACGTGCATGTGCTGCAATGCAGAGTTTGCACCATGAACATGCATGCACACAATTCAATGCAGCGGATGCACCATGCACACGCATGCATATGATTCAATGCAGCGGTTGCACCATGCACACACTGCAATGCAGCGGTTGCACCATGCACACACGTGCATGTGCTGCAATGCAGAGTTTGCACCATGAACATGCATGCACACGATTCAATGCAGCGGTTTCACCATGCACATGATTCAATGCAGCGGTTGCACCATGCACACGCATGCACACGCTGCAATGCAGCTGTTGCAGCATGCACACGCATGCACACGCATGCACACGATTCAATGCAGCGGTTGCACCATGCACACGCATGCACACGCTGCAATGCAATGGCTGCACCATGCACATGCACGCACATGATTCAGTGCAGCGTTTGCACCATGCACACGCATGCA